TACTCTTTCGAGATAGAGTATAGGAAGACTACAGAGTTCGGCAACGCAGACGGATTATCTAGGTTGCCTGACCCGAGAGAATTGCCTAGTGCAGAAATGGTAGTCAATGAAGTGCAGGAAGAGATTATGGCGGTGGAAACGATAGAAAACCTGCCTGTAACAGAGAGATAGCTAAGGCTACAAAGGCAGATCCTCTGTTGCATTTGGTGATAAATTATATTCGGAAAGGTTGGCCGGAAAAAGTCACAGATGACAGGTTAAAGCCGTATGCGGTGAAGAAGACCGCACTGACAGTGCATAATGGTTGCATACTGTGGGGATATAGGGTAGTTATCCCCAAGAGATTTCAGCAAACAGTGCTGAGGATGTTACATAGTAGTCACTATGGACGGAACAGAATGATTAGTTTGGCCCGAACCAAGATATGGTTCCCGGGCATAGATAGAGCGGTAGAAGACGTGGTCAAGAAATGTCGAACTTGTGCAGTTATGGGCAAAGATCCGGTCAGAGTACCCTTGCATCCGTGGGAAGAACCACAGAAAGTCTGGCAGAGGCTGCACATAGATTTTTGTGAGACGAGTGGTGCACCCGCTGTGGTGCCGGTGCTGTTGGCCCCACCGGGCCCACAAGTGGTTCCTGGGAGGCCGAAGCGTCGCCCACAGCGTCGGGGTCGGGCGCTGTGGGCGGCCTTGAAAGAAATCAAGAGGGACATCCGCAGAAGGGAGCGGAGTTTTTCTGCACCCAGACGAAGAAGCCGCTCGCGGTCAAGAGGGCGATGGAGTCGTTCCGCGTCAAGAGGAAGGAGGGCCGGAAGAAGCCCGGATGGACGAGCGAGAGGCCGAGTGAGTCGCTCCGCGTCGAGAGGACGGAGGGCCGGAAGAGGTGGCCGTTCGAGCAGCGGGTCCGCCGATGGGCCGAGAAGAGGTGAGGCCGATGGAAACGGCGGGCCCCAGTAATTCTGTATGTGTAATAAATATGTTAGTGATCTGTGTTGCTGCAGAAGCAGGGTATCTGACTAGGGGGGGGGAGGTAGACGCGAAGTCGAACCCCCTCGCCTATAGCTGTGGCGTGATGTAGGATTCACCCTATTCGGAAGCAAAACCTGCACCTTCAGTGACCGAGTGGTCACTAGGGGGAGGTGTAGGGGGGTGTGCGTGCGTATGTGAAGAATGAGAAGAGATCAAAGAGAGAGGAAGTGATAGATTGAGTGAGAGTATAAAAGTGGTTAGCGGTTGCAATAAAGCATTCCTCTCCCTGGATCTTGTGGAACACAGAAGCACACCAAGCAAAACGCTTAGGGTGAGGGCTAACTCACCTTCTAATCGGCTGTGCTAAGGGAATGAGAGACTAAGCGCGGAGAGGAGAGTATGAGGCGAGAGAGCGCTACAGATGAGAGAGCGCCAGACAACAGCCTGATAAGAGAAAAAATCTGCAGCTTCAGCAGCTTACTTTGCAAGGCCCAAGCGCTCTTGTCGGTTGGTTTCCGTGCACGGGAACGCCACATTTGTGATTGTCCTCTAGGGTCTATACTACAGACCGAAGGAAGCGTTCACACGACCTCTGCCTGGGTTGTGCCTTTTAAGAAAGATGCTGGCAGTGACCTGGAAGTTCGAGAGGAAATGAACGAGAAATACAGGGGGGGGGGCAAAAAAAAAGACATTTTGCCTATGTCGGACTTCGGCCCTTTTTTCTTCGCAGAGATTGCCGTCGTTGACGGGAGTTCCTCAGCAGAGTATTCCCTAAGTGTCCCTCTATAAGTGAACGCAGGCCCTCCTTCACTGCCCTCACCGTCTTCAGAATATGACGTCATCTGTCACCGTCGTCAGGCTCAAGGAGGTCTACTGTAAGTGCTTCAGCCTGAAGCTCTTACGCAATTTCGTGAATCGATTTAATGTTGGATAGTTTTCTAGAGGCATTAGCTACCACTGTGCAAATCCCCTCGAAACTAGCTTTCCAGTAAGGGTCGTTATGGTACACGATCCTTCGAAGACCCCATTGAGCTCGACCAGTGCACCATGTTTCCAGGGCAAATTCTTCTGTTGCCGTCCACGTGGGTGGCCAACATGAAGATTTTCTTATAGAATGAAATGTGCTCTTCAATATTAAGTTGGGAACACTCGGTCTCAATTGAGCAAAGTGTGCTTAAATCCATCTGAAAGTGGAGACAAAATGTCTTTTTTTATTGCCCCCCCCCCTGTATATATAACTTCAAGAAGGCTGGTCCCGTAAGTAGCCCAATCAGGGACGTTTTGGTGCGAAAGGTGCGCCCGTACAAGCTCACTGGGGCCTTATCCACTTCGGTAAACCGCTATCCAAGCCCACCGAGCCACCTTATGTTAGCTGTCAGTCCCTCGCCGTCAGAATCTAGCCGTCGGAGCACATCGTTCACGTTGATGGCGTCAGCACCGATGAGACTAGCCCAATGAACGAACCATTGTGAAAAACAAGGCCCCGTTGAGGGCGTCTCGGCATTTCTCATTTTTCAGTTGTGCACCCCTCAGCAACTCTACTTTTATTCCCAGAGTGCAACCACCATACTACTCATTAATACCGTATCATTTGGGTGTATGACTTTCTCGCGGAGCTACGTCACAAAGCGGCATTATAATGTTTGGTAAATTGTGATGTGGGCGGAGGTGCTGTAGTGGCACGTGTTGTCTACCACCCCGCGACGTCGCGGGGATCAGCCAGCTTGCATGCTCTGCTACAGGACAACAAAGCTTCCCAGCAAGCTTCGGGTTGTTGATTGGTAAGTGTTCTCTAGGTTTCTACACTGGCTTATACTCCTTACCATAAGTGACGGCCTCAAAGGAGTGGGCCAAACCTCATTCAAGTGTCGCAACGATTTCGAATGAGTAGCATGTGCATGGCGCATCCCATGAAAGGATTGGTCAAGGCTAAATGCTTCGCCTTTCTTTTGTCTTAATGTGGATCTCTAGAGGATACGGGCAGTGACCAGATGTGACCCAACCACATAACGTACGATGAATAATTCGATACCCAAATTTCAACCGACCTTGTGCCAAGCCAATCCAGCCAAGGATTCCATTTTGCGAGGCTAAATCCTGCGAGAAATGAGAATTTTACGAAATCCTTAGTCACAGCGGGTTTCTTTGAAACACCGACTTAAGCTAGTCGCCTTAAAATTCATTTGAAACCATGAAAATTCATCAACATATGTTCACAGGTGTCAACTCCGAAAGCAAATAAAGGATCAAAGGGCTTTCTTATGCGTCCGCCCAGCGGTCCTAAAACGATTGCCACCTCACTACCGTATTGTGTGGGCGTGGTTAAATCGCATGCCTGCGGCTCTCCCAAATTTTCCGATTTCATTTCCAGCTTTGCCTCTTTGTTTGATCGATCGTACTGTGTTAGTTTCTTCTCTTCTGTATTTGGCCACACCTCGATTGAGGTGAAGTTGAAACAGGTGGTCTTTTTCGCCTCCTGGTACGAGACGGTCGTTCGCAATCGATTTCGCAATGCCTGTCGGGTCTTAGTTTTTAGGCTGGCTTGTTGAGTCCTCTTTTTAACTGGTTCTCTTATTCTCTTCATTAAACTATTCGATGGGTTGCAGGTAATAAAATGGAGGGCGACAAGCGTGATCTTGCGGATCTATTGAAAGAGGGAGGTATTGGCAGTGAAGTACCGGAAATCATTGGTAAAATCCCAATGGCAGTAAAGAAACGTGTATGCGCTCTCAAGAAGGTTCAGCTAGATAGCATCGAAGTGAGTATCACGATGGGTAAAGTGAGTAGTGGATTATGGTATGTTTCCTGTTCAGGTGGAAGCCAAATTCTACGAGCGGGTTCATCAGCTTGAAAAGGAGTTCGAGACGGAATTCAACAAGCTTTATGAGCAGGTATCATTTTTTTTCTGGTCGTATGAGTTTCTTTAAGTGCTGTCGTTGTTTCCAGCGAAGAAAGATTGTCGCTGGGGAGTACGAACCTACTGATGAAGAATCCAAGCTCCCTATCATTCATGGCTTGGAGGAGGACGAAATTAAGGTATGTGATGTGAAGGTCTTTTAACTTATATTTACGGTAAATTGTCTAGTATTATATACACTTATTTGTAGTATCTTACTAAAGTTGGCTGGAAAGTTCAAAAACGAGGGTTTTTTATTAGGATCTGAGAACGGCTCAACTTCTTTATACTACATGTCCGGTAAATAACCTTGGGCATTGTCAGACAGCCATGTCAGCATTACGGTACAAAAGTGTGGTGAAATGTGTAACTAAGGCTCGTTTTTGTTCGTGCTCGTAGTGGAGAGGAGATGAGGACATCGTTCGAGTACGGTGGTTGGATCGCGCAGGTCACGCCCCCCCTCCCGAAATGCGAGCATCCTCGCACACGCCCCCCTCTACACAGCAGCACCTTAATTCCTTACACATCACATCCCTGCAAACACATCAAAATCCAAAAAGCCAATCAACAACAATTCTGTGCTAACATAAATCTAAGTGCACCTTCGATCTTGTCATTCACTGGCACAGTCTCCCCAATCGCCGCCATACTTTTTGTGTATCAACACTGCACAATATCGAACCACGATGGCAATAGAGGCCAATTAACTTTGTGTGACCTCAAGGCGAGGTTCGTTCAGAAACGCACAGAAATCCTGAAGACACGGGGTTGCGATTCAATCTTGATTCTTGCTTGAGTATATCAAAACAGCCGAGTGTATCAAAGGCCGATTCAACGGCAGCTGCGGCGCGATTGTCACTGGGTCAGATTTGCCGAAATTTCAAAAAAAAACGTCCGAATCTACACCCTCGATGAAAAGGTTGCATTCCTCCATTTCACAACCTTTGAAGCAGCTTGAGGTAGAGTTAGATAGAGCTGGATTTCGCGTTTCCAACAAGCATCGAAATTTGGGCTCACTGGGAAGCCTCCTTTGCAGAAAGATAGAGTCTGTCAAATTTCGTCGAGTAAATGTCGAGGAGGCCGAAATTTCCACGCGAGTTTTGCCACTTCAAGAGCAATATATCTCTTATATTGTAAGATCCTGAAAAAGGGAAGATAGTTTTGGAAAGCGGAAGGTTTGCGCTTCCTGATGGTCTGTTTAGTTTTCTTCTACAGCTTTTTGGTTGAAGAGATAATTGCGTCGAGGATCTATCGAGGTCGGATCCGGCCACCTGGAAATCCGCTCCCTCATTCACCATTGCAAGTGTGACTCGTTGGCAACACTCGGAATGTGTCTAGAACAATATCTTTGAACGCAAACAATAAGAATAGGAGCAATCGTCATCATCCGATTTGGTATTGGTATAAGCCATGCATCCCTCCTCCACTCACAGTTGCAGAATCGATTGAAAGGTGTTATATGATGGGGACCTTCGAACGAAACTGTATTGTAGTAGACATAGTGTGTTGTGCTATTCCTGTAACCTAAAAAACAACTTCATTTGCCCAGCGCTTTTTCTTCACGGTTGTCGTTTTTCCGACAGGGTCCCTAACAACAGCGTCATTCTCAGCGAGGTATTAAGGGAGAAGAGCGAGCGATAGGCAGAGGAGGTGCCTTTGCAGCGCGTGCGCACATGTGGCAGTCCTTTTGCGGAATGCATTTCCACTCTTTTGTACTGCTCAAACATTACGGCCCTTCCTCCTGCAAGTCGGCAGCACGTGGAGCGACTGAACCTGCAAAGAAAATTTAATATCATGTTTTTTTTTCGATGTTTTCATTTTCTGCTGCGCTATACCCTATTACCTATCTGCACCATGATACCACTTCTGTTACTGACCCCAAGAGTACGACCCCCCATGGACCAGCCCAACAGGTACGACCCCCCTGTCGAGGATTTCCTCGACCGATATTCACCCTGCTGGGAGAGGACATTGAGTGAAGTGTTCTAGTTCTT